TCTCATTTCGCAGACCCTCTTCAGTAATAACAAGCAGTGGTATAGTGTCGCAAAAAATAAAAAATCGCAAAAGTCGGCGCTAACATTGGTTGTCACAAGATAGTCGCTACAAAATCTTTCGTCTACGGGACTCTTTTAGTTATATTATTACATATTTTTCGCTACAGTTGATCCTTTTCGAAATATTTGACCGTTTCCGGACTTTTTGCCAACTCTGTATAACACAATACAATGCGTAGTAGCATAAAAGTTGAATAACAGCTAGACACACAATTCATTTACACACTGACAAAATATGTTTCATATTTTTCTTATATTGAAGTGATGCGATAAAGAGAAATATTCCACTTCCATTATAATAATATGTGATGGTGTTTAAAATTAGCGCTCTAATCGCAGATGAAAAGTTTAAGAGGGCGCTATATGCTCTTACTGAGCGGGTTCGTCGACCGCACCGCCATTTCTCGTTCGTTCGCATCCGCATACAGACGCCATTAGTCTCAATTTTGTGATTTCTCGATAGTTTCCGGTCTTTTGTGTTTGGTGTCAGCAGGATGAGATTCTCATTGGTTTCTTAGCTTGGTATAAGTGAGAAACATCCTCGACATACTCCAAAATCCTTTTCTCTGGATTAACCTCGTGATTGAAGGCCTTCGATCAATCTACGTCGCGGCGTTGAGCCGCATTACGTCATTTCAATTCTTTCTGTACGGAAAGCTCACAAAGAGTTTCAGGTTTGAGTTCGTCTGCTAATCATAGAACAGTCTCATTCTGTAGATTACATCTATAAAATTTGGTTTGACAGACACTACTAGTAATTAAACCTTCACAAAGATTCATTCAAGCTGTCACGCTTACTGATTTTTTATTTTCTTTTGTTGAAGTAAGCTCTTGTTTCGTTGTAAGGTTTCACCTCAAGTGACCATAGAAATTCTCTGTTCGAACCTACAACTAAAGCAAGCACCTTTATTGTTATGAGTTTTTCTTAGTTTTGACTTAATTCCTAGTTTGATATATACAGGGTGTTCGGAAAGTACCGGGACGCCCGAATATCAGGAAAAATATAAGTTTTACAAAAAAATGTTTCAGACAAAAGTTGTGGCGTTTAAAAAGATGTATTTACTGATCACATCAGTTTGACCTTGGGTTGCGTAGCGAAGGTCAGGTCAAGGTCACATTAATTTTTTTAAATGGAACACCCCATTTTTCATTGCATATTCTTATAGCACATCTCGAGAG